TTCCTTTTGTTAATCTGTTAATTATATTATAGCCTATTATATATTTTGTGTGATCCTATTTATTTTATTCCTTTTATAGACTTAATTTCTGTTTTTCTCCTTTCACAGAAGCGCTGCAGGTGCATGATGCGATGATTGAATCCTCATGGTCTTGTTTACGCTGCTATTCGCGCATATAAAGCTAAAGCCCTGTGTAAAACCAAAAAAAGACATTCTAATCTTACTGGTTAACGATCGACTAATGAGCTTCGTTTGACGGTCAGGAAAATAAAAATGAACAAAATGCTGTCATTCTACAATTCTCCACCATATTGCTACGCTGCGCACAAGTTCAGGTAACTCAAAAACTTGCGTACACGAGCTGAGACCAGACGTGAGATTTGATCGTAGCTACCACTCACGTCCATATTGATAAATTCCAAGTTTTGCATTGAAACTACCGTAAGCCCAATTTTCTGTCGTACGTTCATTTCGTAAATGAGGCCCATTAACTTGTAAGCACAAAACACAAGATACTTCTCTTTTCAATATGATTAAGACTTTATTAGACAAATCTAAGATATAAACTAATCTAACACAAAAACACACGCACTCACACATTCACACAAGTTGCAGAAAGAGAGAAAGTGAGGAAAGAATAAGTTTAGGAGAGTAATCGATGTAAAATCCCAAGTTATAGCAATATGTGCAATTGCTTAGACCTGAACAACCATCAATCTGAAAGGGGGTTTCCCAAGGTTGTTGATTGGCTGGAGGTTCAGTAATCGTTCGAAGTGACGTCTTGGGGAGCCAATCGTTGGGCGTTGGCTGAAGAATGACGCGGAGTTGTGGGCTGGTTGAAGTTTTGGGGGTGGGCACAGACGAGGTTTGACTCGGAGACACGGCTTTGCGGCAAAACTCAACTCAGAACACGAAACTCTCAACGGAAAAGAAAATAAACTTAAGTAAAAGAAAGAAAGAAGAAAAGTGTGACAAGACTTAGATGGCTTATCTCCTGATGATGGTTGAGGAGCACCTGGCATGTAAGCCAGAGCATGCTCAAAGAGCACTAAAAACCTTATGGCAAAAAGCAACGGCAAAATGGCCAAAAGGCAAAAAGCGGTGGCAAAAGCAAAATTAGTTGGTGTCCTGAGTTTTTAAACTCGGCTGTTAGACACATCCCAAATGGTGTCTTGACCAATTAGACATGGTCTTAGCTTGGGGTGTTGCGATGTTTCTCCTCCCAATACATAAATCAACGTGTTATCTTATTAGTCACATGGTCCGAATTTCCCCGCTCTTGCAGAGTATAATTTATACATGATTTCTATAACAAAAATATGATACAGTTTACAAAGAATTGATTGATAGAAACGTTTTAAGGAAAGATTTTCAAACTCATTCACACCAAACATGAGTATAAACCTAAAAACTATTCAATA